TTTTAATGTTTGTTTATTTTTGAGAGAGTGCGAGCAGGGGAGGAGCAGAGAGGAGGAGACGGAATCCAAAGCAGGCTCCAGGCTCTGAGCTGTCAGCTCAGAGCCCAGTGCGCGGGGCTCGAACTCCCAAACCGTGAGGTCATGACCTGAGCCGAAGTCGGATGCTTAACCTACTGAGCCACCCAGACACCCCTATGGTTTAGTCTTGAGAAAACCTTTCAAGGAGGGAGTGCCCACTTAAGTCTGCTGCTGCTGAGATGATGAGAACACATAGTTGGGCTTTGGATGTGGCAGTTGGGAAGGTGTTGGTGACTTTGACAAGAGGAATTTCAGTGAACTACTGGGGGGAGAAATTTAATTGGAACGTATTAAGAAGAGATGGTTAAGGAAGGAAACAAAGGATATGAATAGAGATACTTCTTTCTAGAAGTGCTGCTCTGAAGGATATTCAAGAAGATACTCTGACAGGTGTGAGGTGGTACCTCATTGTGGTTTTGATTTGTGTTTTCCTGATGATGACTGATGTTGAGCATGTTTTCATGTGTCTGTTAGCCATTTGGATGTCCTCTTTGGACAAGTGTATATTCATGTCTTCTGCCCATTTCTTAACTGGATTATTTATTTTGGGGATGTTGAATTTGATAAGTTCCTTAAAGATTTTGGATACTAGCCCTTTATCCGATACGTCATTTGCAGAGATCTTCTCCCATGATGTAGGCTGCCTCTTAGTTTTGTTGATTGTTTCCTTCGCTGTTCCGAAGCTCTTTATCCTGAAGAAGTCCGCAATAGTTCATTTTTGCTTCTGTTTTCCTTGCCTCTGGAGATGTGTCTGGTAAGAAGTTGCTACAGCCAAGGTCAAAGAGGTTACTGCCTGTGTTCTCTCCTCTAGGGTTTTCATGGTTTCTTGTCTCCCATTTAGGTCTTTCATCCGTCTTGAATTTATTTTTGTGTATGATGCGAAGGGGCACAGGCGCCCCAATGTTTACAGCAGCACTATTAACAACAGCCAAATCGTGGAAAGAGCCCAAATGTCCATCAACAGAAGAATGGGTAAAGAAGGTGTGGCATGTATATAACTGGAATATTAACCTTCACGAAGAACGAAATCTTGCCATTTGCATCAACTTGGTTGGAACTAGAGTGTATTATGCTAAGCAAAATAAGTCAGAGAAAGACAAATACCGTATGATTTCACTCACATGTGGAATTTAAGAAATAAGACAGATGAACATAGGAAAAGAGAAGGAAAAATAAAATAAAGGCAGAGGGAGTCAAACCATAAGAGACTCTTAACTTTGGAGAACAAACTGAAGGTTGCTGGAGGGGAGGGGAGTGGGGGGAAGGGCTAAACGGGTGACAGGCATTAAGGAGGGCACTCTTTGTGAGGAGCACTGGGTGTTACGCGGAATTGATGAATCACTGAATTCTCCTGAAACCAGCACTACACTATATATTAACTAACTTGAATTTAAATAAAATTTTGGAAAGGAAAAAAAAGACACAAGATATCAGACCAAGGTCAGGTTTTGTTTTTGTTTTCAGATGTGAGACAGTAGATGAGATTTGAATGCTGATAGGATGACATAATAGGGAGGCAAAAATTGTTTACAGATCTGTGAGGGATAATTATAGGTTGAAGTCTTTTGAGAAGGGAAGTTGTGTGGAGTCAAGACCACAAGTAGAAAGGTTGGACTTTGACAGCAAAAAAGATTCTTCTGTTGTAACAGGAGTGAAAGCAAAGGGTTTGGTTAGACCTAGAAGCTGGCTATAGACCGAATTCCCACTTTCCTTCTATGAAAAAACAGACAGGCAAAAGGAGCCTGATTGTGAACGGCTCTGGAAAGATGGGCCATGTCAGAGGGATCTATACTAACTGCTACGGGAGAGAAAAACCCCTAGAGACAATGGGGAGGGCATAACCGAGTTCATGAAGAAGGAGAGCTTAGCAACCACAGTCATGGTGACTACAGGACTAATTTGCCACAAAATTCTAATGGCTTTCTCTTAGTGGGTTTTTCCAGTGTGGCTAAAAGGAATACCTGATAAGTTATTTTGAAGAAAACTCGGTATTATGATTTTAGTGTAAGTAGTATACTGCATCATGGCATTAAATTTTAAAATATTAAAGTCTAAAATAGTAAGAGAACACCAAAGATGTTTTGTTTTCCTTTGATAATATTTAAATTCACACTTGAACTCGTATTTTACATTTTGTGTGTACAACCCGACTAAAACAAATGGTCACAAATTTTAAATAAAAGCAAGGAACATAGATCATGTTTAAACAGTCAAAAATATATATTAATTGAGGAGTGAATTTGCAAGTTTCATTAAATGTAATGCATTTCTATCATATACCAGTGAATAATTTACAAACCCCAATAATGTAATTAATACAGTGGAGCTGTTTTAACTTGCTGTGACAACCCTACTCAATTCATAAAAAAATTGGTGTTGCTTTCTTTTATTCTAGGTTGTCTGACTACATTTGTGGTGAAAAGAGAGTAAAAGACATTAATAATACCATTAGCAGTGGGTAAAACTTGAACTTACTGGGGTGTACTTGGATTGGAGTATATTTGTGTGCAGTGCCTTGGGTTTAGTGATAGTACATTTAAAATTGGTATGCCAAGGGCAGTAAACTTTACAGCAACATACAGGAGTTTAATAACCGTGAAACGTTGAAAGCCCAATGAAAACTAAAGCTTTCTTTAGTCAACAGTAAAGCAAGAATGCAGACATTTTTATTCTTTATTGCCTCAGGTAAAAATGTCTCTAGAAACAGATAAGTGATGACAAAGCTTTGATGTTAATAAACCCAAATGGAAGTAAAAAATCAAAGTGTGTAAATAGCTAGATTATGAAAAGAAAGATGACAAAGTTATACCCTGCAATTAGATGTAATTTGTGCTTTTGGCATAGCTATTTGTCCTACATGAATGAGAGGTTGTCTTACTCTCCTTCCTTGAATAATGGGAGGACAGTACTTACATATCCTACTGTAAATCTTTTGTGGTACTTGTCTGGGGGGGGGGGGGGGGCAAGAAAGAAAGAAAAACAAATTGTATATCAAAGCAGAAGTGTATTTTAATCTTTCTTTTGCAGTTACGTTTAGCTGAACCCAAGTGAAAAATCCCTAATGCTCTTATTCAATCAAACATATGTTCTAGTAGATAATGTATACAAATTAATGTTCTTGTTATTGTGCCTTTGGAGTTTTATGAGTTACAGCAGTGCATAAACGCCTCTCAAGCCACCAATAGTAGCAATATATGAATTAAAAGTTGAATAGGATTGAATGAGATAAGATGGTTAAATGTTTCAGATTATAAACAATTTCATTGTAGAAATAATACATAACCACATATTTAAGTACAGCCTGGTCCATGTGGAAAATTTTTGTTGGCATGAAAAAATTTTTGTGGAAAATTTTTGTTGGTATGAAAGTTCCATGAATGTGTGATGTGTAGAATAAAAGTTGTGATTACTGTTAAGAAATACAGCCTTGTAAAATCTTTTTTTTTCTTTTTTTTAATATGAAATTTATTGTCAAATTGGTTTCCATACAACACCCAGTGCTCATCCCAGCAGGTGCCCTCCTCAATACCCATCACCCACCTCTCCTCCCTCCCACCCCCCCATCAACCCTCAGTTCTCAGTTTTTAAGAGTCTCTTATGTTTTGGCTCCCTCCCTCTCTAACCTTTTTCTTTCCTTCCCCTCCCCCATGGTCTTGTTAAGTTTCTCAGGATCCACATAGGAGTGAAAACATATGGAATCTATGCTCTGTATGACTTATTTCACTTAGCATAACACTCTCCAGTTCCATCCACGTTGCTACAAAAGGCCGTAATTTCATTCTTTCTCATGGCCAAGTAGTATTCCATTGTGTATATAAACCACAATTTCTTTATCCATTCATCAGTTGATGGCCATTTAGACAGCCTTGTAAAATCTTAAATTTATCCACATGTATATGGTATGATTTATGTATTCTGTACTAGAAACTTTATACCTGTGTTTCCTATTGGCACGTGAGTTCCAAGCATCTCCCTCTTCTGGTCCTCATGACTTGGCTGGTGTCTACCCTGGTAATGCAAACCGTTTTTTGAATTAGACATGATAGGGGCTCCTGGGTGGCTCAGTCGGCTAAGCATCCGACTTCGGCTCAGGTCATGATCTCGCGGTTTGTGAGTTTGAGCCCCATGTTGGGCTCTGTACTGACAGCTCGGAGCCTGGAGCCTGCTTCGGTTTCTGTCTCCCTCTCTCTCTGCCCCTCCCCCCCCCCCCATAAACATTAGACATGATAAAAACCTAAAATAGGAAAGTACAATATTTTTTTCATAAATTGTTTTAGATATTTCAAAGCAGAATATGAGTGACTTTTAAATCTGTTTGGGAATATCCTGTCCTTTTTCTCATTTGCTAGTGTATTTAATTAGAAGATAATACATAAGAAATTATTAGTGGGTTGATTTCTATGTGTGCAGTGTAAATACCAAGAGATCAAATCACACTATTAACGATGTTTTAAAGACAAATTATTTTCCAGTTAATGTGGTCAGAGCCCTACTGTGGCTTCTTCCCCTGATCAGACCCACAGTCCTGGGGAGTTGTGGAATGCTTGGAATTGCTCCGATGTTAAAGTCCGTGTTAGGAGACTGCTGTTGTGGTATAGTACTGCCTTTTTTTTTTTTTTTTTTTTTTTTTTTTTAATGTTTAGGTTTATTTATTTTTGAGAGGGCACAGGTGGGGGAGGGGCAGAGAGAAGGGACAGAGGATCTGAAGTGGCTCTGGGCTGACAGGCTGACAGCAGTGAGCCTGATGTGGGGCTCGAATTCAGGAACCACGAGACCGTGACCTGGGCAGAAGTCTGGACGCTCAACCAACTGGGCCACCCAGGTGCCCCTTAGTACTGCTTTGATGTGTTGCTTCAGTGTGTGTCCCGTGGCTGTGACTGCAGATACTGCAGAGGAAAAAGAGTGGACAGGTGAGCACCATCTGATCAGCAGTGCTACATCTCTCGAGGTGTAATAGGAAAGCCTGTTTCTTCCAGTAGACATGCCAAGTGTAAGATACATTAATGGCGAGCCAGGAAAGTGATTATAAGCAGACATCGGGATTTAACCAGGAAACCACTGCAATAGAAAGTGGACAGTCAGTGGTATAATATGAGCCAAAGGCACACTTTTTCAAAAGCCTAATTATAAGTAAACATGTTTTATTTGTAATTGATTTTACTTATTTATGCAATACTGCAACTGTTTTGTTTTTAAATTAGGACTTTGAGTTTCAAGAGTAGACTTGGCCACCGGGCAGTGATTAAATCCATCATAAACTACCATCATGAAAAGATTGCTTCTTGAAACACCGTCAAAATACTATTTTATTGTGGTTACTGAAATTCCTTCAAATATATCAGGAAGGGAGTTGGAGCTGTTGGCTCTATCTTGATTCTTAAAAATTACTCATGTTGGGTGTTTTCTTGAAATATATGTATGTTACAGAAAATTGAGGAGAAAAGGCAAAAAGGAAAGTGTAAAAACTGTCTTCCCTTTACCATGACTTAAAAAAAACTTGCCATTATTAAAGTTCTGAGTTTTATATCTTGATTAGGAAGGTTTTTCTTAGAACTTTGCAAAACAATATTATTTACAAAATATTTTTTCATATTATAGAAATAAAGTTAATGGCTCACTAGAGTAAAAGTGAGCTGTCCTTGACTTTTGGGGGACTGTCTCTTGCCCCTGTATCTTTGCTCTCCAATCTCTTCTTATCCATATTTCTATATAGTGGTTTCTCTGCTAAAAGCTGTTAAGTTTTTATTGTGCTAAGTACCTAGATAGTGCCTTATTTAGAGTAGTGCCTAGTTTGGGGAAAGCACCCTACAGTGGCTTTTGCACCGCATCGGTGAAAACGTACGATGATGTTATACAGCGAAGATGTCCTTTAGGACACTGCTTTGTCCTGGCCAGACAGCAGTTGTGTATTCTTTATTTAAATCTAGTTTAGCTGATGGGAAATGTAAGACATTTTTGAAGGACCTGGAATTAGAAAATAGGTTTCTCATTTTATATTTAGTCCTGTTTGGGAAGCTTTTTTTTTTTTTCCTTTGAAATTTTAAGAGATCCCTACAGCCAAATGTTGAAAACAGATTGAGTCTGATATTCATCTCAGTTATTTAAAGTTAATTAATTGTATACACTATTCTAATATGGGCAGTACTCAAAATTGGAGCATTTTAAGATTTTTATTAATCATTGTATTTTATCATATTATCACATATTTGCTGATGCATCATTGTCACTTACTTCTTATCTTTGAATAGGTTGTGAATCCGTTTAAGAACGTGATGAAAGGTGTATACTTTCTTCCCCAAAGTGCATGTACACGTTTTCACGCATAATTTCAGGGAGTTATGGACACCAGGAAGTGTGACCATGTAGTGTGGGGACTTAGAGCCTGTGCCAGATCTAATGTGTTAGACTACATCCCTTGTCCCTTCTTTCTTCATATTATGAAATGTTTGCAATGTTATATCTGAAATTATTTCTAGTGCACTGCTTTTATCATGTCTCAGTGCGTTACTCCTAGCTTTTCAGTGATGTTACCCTCAAGTCAGATAATTTACGGTATTACTCTTCCCTTTCACCAATTCTTTGCTTCTGTTCGACTCTGCACTCTCTTTTCCAGCCCAGTGTATGGTCCATTAGCCCTGTTACACTCGCTTACCCTGTGTATAGCTTTAGAAAGAGAACACACACCTTTGTCTGTCCCTCTCCTTTAAGTCTTAAAGGCCCATTGTCTGAGGGAGCGTCTTCACGTTTCCTCTCTTCACCCTGTGGCCTGGAAGTAGGTTGGGTTATTCAAGTTCTCAGAGCTTAGGATTCTACTTACAAATTCACAGGAATGTTATTCATACTGGTAATCTGTAGTACATATATAAAGGTTTTAATTTTGTCCATTAAGTAAACAATAGCCATAAATATTGCGAAATTAAGTTTATACTGAACAAAGTGACAAAATCCATCCAAGTATGTAAATGTTAAGAGCTAGTTCCTCTTTGGGACTTCCCTGGCAATTCATGTTTGGAGATTTGGGTTGCCTGAATCATGTCAGCACTTCAGGCTCTGCTCTTCTTCTGTCCCCTGCTCTTCCCGAGATTCAAGTAGAGTTATTCTCTGGGTTGTAAAAAACACGGGAGTAAATTATCTCCAGGTACATTTTAACAAGGTTACCCCAGTGCTAGTTCTGCCCATGCCTACCCTTAAAGTACATATGTAGCAACTTACCATCAACCACAGGTTTTTACTGGTTTTGTTTCTCATATAAGATTCTAAAATTCTCAGGGACGTCTGGGTGACTCGGTTGGTTAAGCATCCAACTCTTGGTTTTGGCTCAGGTCATGATCTCACAGTTGGTGGGATCGAGCCCCATGTTGGGCTCTACACTGACAGCATGGAACCTGCTTGGGATTCTCCCTCTCCCTCTCTGCTCCTCCCTGTTCACTCTCTCCCTCTCAAAAATAAAAAACTCTAACTTAAAAAAAAGATTCTAAAATTCTCAGGGGTCAAGATAAAATTTTTCTTAACGTGTACCCAGAGAACTTCATTTAGTACACACCTCACTGTTTCCTAGGCAAATGCTAACAGTTCTGCTAACTTCGTGTATGATTCACTGGCACGGTTTTATATGGCTTCTTTCCTGTATTTGCATGTTAAGTTATAGAAACTCATGATTCCTCATTTGACCCAAGTGTTGTAAATGACATAAAGCGTGGTAGAGAAGTTGAAGGAGAAAAGTGACTGAGTACTTAAAGTAATGGCATTTGAAATAGTAAAATGGGAAATTCTCTTCCATTTATTTATTTAGCAGTTGTCTACTTTACTTATGCTTAAAGCAAAACACAAACAGTCTGTTTGGTTTTCCAGTCAATATACAACAGATTCTATTATGGAATCGTTTTAAATCTTCACTGTTACAGTATCCTCAGAAATTACTATATAAAAGGCATGGATATCTTCTCATGAAATTTGTCCAAAGAATAAAGTACAAGCCGAAAGAGAGATTTTGGCAAATCTTTGCCAGGTCTTAAGTGATTTGCTTGAATAATAAATTAATTTGCCAAAATATATAGCCATATCTGTGTATGACTTGTTTTTCTGTATTGTGTATTTTTATTGTGTAATCTGTGCATCACTTTTTTTAACTGGCGATTTAATTTGTAAGCATCAACAGAAATACAAGTGGCATGCGTCCCAGTACCTTTGCTCGTAAACTCTACCTGCTTTGCCAATGCTTGGTAAAATGTCTGGCTCATCCCCCGCTCGTTTCCTACCAGTACATTCTGATAGCAAAATTTTATCATAAATACACTGTAAAGTTATGTCAGTGATCTCCAAGCCAAAGCTGAAACAATCCGTTAAAACCTAAAGCAAACATGATGTAAGGCCTGAAATCCATTAGGTCATTCATTCAGATTTACAGGAGAGTGTGAGCAGCTGGTGTAATCCAGTTGAGAGCATTCTGTTTCTGAGATTCTATGGTTTCTACAATCGGCAAAAAATAAGGCAATATTCTCTGGTACGGTTAACACTACCCCACCTGTCAATGGCTTTACCTCTTTCCTCTTCCCAAGAAGGCATTTTTAAAACCGAAGAACTTAGCAGGATACAGTAATTTGTGGTTATAATAACAGGAACCAAGGGGCCTTTATTTCCTTTTGCGTGAGAACTTCTTTAGTGCAGTTGCACATGACAAAGTGCACACCTACCTAAAGATATTTTAATAAGTTAATGGGGTTTTAAATGTGTAAACACACAAAACAAACTTTTGTGTATCCACACACCAAAATCTTTTTAAATTACTACTTTTTTACCGTCACACTCTGGGTTTGGAATTGGTTCCCATTCGTAAAGACCCATGCGTTCTGGCCCGTTTTCTTTTTTTTAACCATTTAGCAATATTAACCATGTGGTAGGCACTGGTGATACAGAGGGGCAAAAATGCATTTTCTGTTCTTAAAGAATTCATTGTATTGGACAACGGACGATTCCAGCACAGAGCTTGATGAAAGTTTACTCTGGGTTCGCTATGCTCCTACCTGAGAGGCTACCTAACCCAAAGTGGCTACTTGAGGAAGGATTCCTAGAGCAATAAGTAAGTTAGCCAAATGAAAAAAGGGACCAGAAACAAGTAACTATGTTACATCTTAGCTTTGTGAAGTGTTTTGACTACAGTCAGAAGCAGAGTAAGTGGTTATTTAACCTGTCTTCTGGAAAGGTACGCAGTAAGGTTTATCGACGCTCATCACAGGTAGCCGGGTAAATGCGGAAGCTTAAGGACACAGGAGCAAACATCAGTTTCAGGAAAATCATATTAGCAGTGAACAAAACTAAGGTTGACATTTTATTTTTTTAAATAACTTTTTAAAATTTATTTATTTATTGTTGAAAGAGAGAGAGCACACAAGCTGGGGACAGGCAGAGAGAGAGACAGACAGACAGAATCTGAAGCAGGCTCCAGGCTCTGAGCTGTCGGCACGGAGCCCGACGTGGGGCTCGAACCTAAAGACCCATAGACCATGAATGAGATCATGACCTGAGCCAAAGTCAGACACTTAACCGACTAAGCCACCCAGGCGCCCCGACATTTTAAATTAATACAATATTTATTTTACACAAAGACCTAGTTCTTAATAATAATAGTACCAATGGAATATTTATTTATTTATTTTACCAATGGAAGTTTTAAATAGAAATATAGTTTTGTTTTTATTTTTTTTTTTAATTTTTTTTTCAACGTTTATTTATTTTTGGGACAGAGAGAGACAGCGCATGAACAGGGGAGGGGCAGAGAGAGAGAGGGAGACACAGAATCGGAAGCAGGCTCCAGGCTCCGAGCCATCAGCCCAGAGCCCGACGTGAGATCGTGACCTGGCTGAAGTCGGGCGCTTAACCGACTGCGCCACCCAGGCGCCCAGTTTTGTTTTTAATAAATTGCAAATCTGCCCCTTCTTTCAGGCTTTTGTTATCTTTCCATTTATTTGAAGGTTTTTTTAAAAATTTGTTTTTGTTTTGGATGCAATTTCTGTTTATATGCAAGCAACAAATTGCTGTTCTCAAAAAATAATTCCACTCTTTGACCAAATTCTGTGTAGGGTTAGGGTATGGGGCTAAAGGAACTTGGTGCCAGGCAAACTGCTGTCAGTATTCAGCCACAAGCTTTACGTGGCCATCCACACAGTGAGTGTTCTTTTAACTGAGGGGACAGACAGACTTTTCCTGGGACTTGGGGATGGAAGTCTGAGTAGATCACAGAGAATGTGGCAGTCTGGGGAGAAAGCAGTGCAAAGTACTATAGGAATGAGTTACTTTCCTTCTGCAGTCCCAAACTATAAAATACTTTACAGCTACAGACTGCAGCTGTTCCCCACAAAGGGGTGGGAGGGAGGAGAGAAGGGCCCATCCCTTCTTTACTCCAGACTGGGTCATTTATTGCAGGATACGGTGTCCTAAATGCTGTTATCTTTAGCAGCAGCCTCTGTTTGTGACTCAGCCCTCTGATAGCAGCACTTTCTCCGGGCTTACCTGAAATTCTCAGTTTTGAGAACTTTTTGCATGGATGAGTTCGTTGCAGAAATTAGACCACAGCTTCCACCACAAAAGGTTCTTTTTTACTGCTCTGCTGCCCAAAGGAGAGAGACCAGAATCCAAATAAATTTACTGATACCAGACCTGTTTCTAACTTCCTACTTAAACTTAATTGTATCATCTTGAAAAATACTAGTCTGATGCATGTCTCATTTTGAAAAGTAAGAAGTCACAATGTCATGGGTGATAAATAACAGGGGAAAAGTAATGACCATAGTTTGAAATTGATCATCAGTGAGACATACACATTTGCAAACCGCTAGGTGCTCCTTTCCTACTTCTGTCTAGCACTTCCCACCTTCCATTCCATTACGCCTCCCCCGCTAGAAAGTGAGCGCCTCTTTATTTTATCTCCATACAATGCCAGGTCAGAGGAGATGCCTGGTATTTGTTAAATAAGTTGGTGTTGAATAGTTTTAGCAAGAGTTCACAAAGTAGTTTACCTTCTCCTGTGGGAGCCGGGGGAAATAAACTGAAGTGACTCAATCATTCCCTTGGAAAATGTTACTTAGTTATGGTTGCAATGAGTGATATTGATGAAACTTGGGATTGTAGTTTTAAGTCGAGACTCTAGTCTTTTTTTTTTTTTTTTTAATCATATGAAGCCTAATTTAAACTTTTTGTTAAGAGCATAAACAGAAGTTTATGTCGTTGTTATGTACTTCCTGCAAGGTAATTATGGAAGAAGAGAAAGTGAGTATTCTGTTCACTGATCTCATCAGGAGAGAGAAAGCAGTTACTCGAAGAGAAGGCGCTTATGTTTTTACTCATCAGCGTCCCCTGCCAGTGGCCACTCCCCTCTACACGGAACTCTACGCTTTTTTTTTAAGTTAATATAAGCATATGCCATTTCATTACTGCACTTATCCAAGGAAAGTCACACTAGCGTTCTTCTAGTCTCTGGAAAGAAGTCTAGGCTAGGCCCTCACTAGACCAGACAACGATCAGAAGCCAGCCAGAGTCATTCCCGGCACTTCAGGGTCTTCTAAGAGTGACTTTTGTCTCCTTGGCTAATATTCTCTCATTTTGTAGAGTTTATTGTGAAGTATAGCTTATGCAGTTAATATTTCTAATTTAGTCTGGCAGGACTTTTTTTTCATATACGATGAATTCTCCCCCAATTCAGAACAAAATCGGAAAGTTCTAATGACTGAAATTTGTCCACTTGTAAAAGTTTTCTTTAAGAAGAAAAGATAGTCTTTCAGATGGGCCACAGAAAGTTCAAAGACAGCAAAGCAATAATATGGTATCCAGATTGTTACAAATTCCAAAATAAAGGTCCCAAATGAATACGGTTTTACTACGTTTGGTCTAATGCATTGTGGGTATATTGGATATATTGAAAGCATTGTAAGGAAGGCTCTTTCTTTTCTCACTTTCTTCCTGGGAATGCAGAAAGCAAAGAATGTTCAACAAAGAACAGAGAGCTAACTTTTTCGAATTTGTCACTTCATGGATAAAAACTAGAGACAGAATGGTGAAGCACCTGTTGCTTTAAAGGCAATAAACTAGGGAAATGTTTTAACAGAAGTCATCAGCTTTCAAAGATCTCTTTTATCCACTTCACATCACTCATTGCTCTTAATTCCTTTGTCACATTTTTTCCTGCATTACAAGTAATCCTCGAAATCCATGGAGCATTTTATATATAACCAGAACCATGTGGATGGTTCTCACGTGTTCAGCATAGCCCCAAATCCCAGCATTTCTGCTGCCCCTCCTTCCCCACGTATTTAGCTTTAGATGCAGGTTTGAGAAGCAAATAGTTGTGGTGATGGGAATTCATCTCCCTGCCATCACTTTCCACCTACCACGACTCTAAATTCAGTCTCTGGTGGGTTTCGGATGACAAGAGAGCCACCAACAGGCCCCCGGCGTTTCTTTGATCTCCACCACTACATTCTATACTCTTCGTTCTGAGGGGCTAGTTTCTCCAGCAGCTGCTGCCCTGTGCCAGTCCGCTGGTTATTTATGTGTAACAGTATACGTTGGCCAACAGAGCAGATCTGTGGAGGTATCTTACGAAATCTCATCATTCAGATAAAAGTTACGATTAATACCGTTTAGTCCGTTCCTAGTAGAAAAGTTCTCTTGAACTGCGGTGAATGAGATGAGGACGGGCAAAGAAGCTCTCTCCAGCCCTCTGGGTCGAGTGGTTTGAATGTGCTTTCATTTCCCTACATAACATGTAAGACTGAGACGTGTCTTTTAAGAATAACCTTAGAATAGGGGCATCTGGCTGGCTTAGTTGGTTAAGCGTCCGACTCTTGATCTCAGCTCAGGTCTTGATCTCAGGGTGGTGAATTCCAGCTCTGCGTTGGGCTCCGCGCAGGGCGCGAAGTCTAAAAATCAATAAAAAATTAAAAACAAATCATCTTAGAAATAAATTATGACTTCTCCTTTACTGTGCCCTTTTTTGGGTATTAGCCCTTTAGAAAACAGCTTTTGAGATAACCAACAATAAAGGCATCATGGTTTCAACCTTACTTCGATTTTCTAACATCTGCCTTACTTAGGTTTTCTTTTTTTTTTTTTTTTATTTTTTCTTTTTTTTTTTTAAATTTTTTTTTTTTAATTTTTTTTTCTACGTTTATTTATTTTTGGGACAGAGAGAGACAGAGCATGAACGGGTGAGGGGCAGAGAGAGAGGGAGACACAGAATCGGAAACAGGCTCCAGGCTCCGAGCCATCAGCCCAGAGCCCGACGCGGGGCTCGAACTCACGGACCGCGAGATCGTGACCTGGCTGAAGTCGGACGCTTAACCGACTGCGCCACCCAGGCGCCCCTAGGTTTTCTGAAAGAGACTAAAACTGATCAGTTTCCTCTGAGGCCTTCCAGGATTATTCAGACCCGAAGTACATAAATTCAAAGCTTCATTTCAGTAAAGTTTGTTTTGTTTTGTTTTTTTGTTTTACACTATTATTTTGGAAATTGATGTCTGATTTTGCCCTTTCTCTTTCCGGAGCACGGCAGTTAATCAGATGTTGAGTTTTTGTGTCTGTCATGCATGTGGATGTTCTTTTCCCTGATTGCTTTTCTTCGTGCTTTTCTTCTGCCTTCTGTGTGACTTCCCCCCCCCCCATCATGTAGTCCATATATTACTGCAAGGTTGATTCTAATCTTTTCTGTTTCTTAAAGTATTTTACGTTTTATAATGGCGTTTTCTCTTATTTAGTGAGACCAACTCCCTTCTCAAATGTTTCTGTTGTCTGTCTGGCATCTTATCTTGCTTTCTGATGTTGTAAGGTTGCCACTTTTGTTTCCTATGGTTTTTTCTTATTTTCTTTCAGAACGGGATTTTCATTGTTCATTGTTTCTTGTTGTTCTTCATTTTTCCCCACAGAACTCGTATAGTCCCAACACTAGGTTTTAAACAGACTTTCCAACCAAACACCGTGTGTGCCAAAAACCATGTGAATGTTTATCCTTGACTTCTTTCCATCTTGATCTAAGCGCTCTTTATCTTTGCATTAGAATATTAGCTAAAGAGCAGGATGTTAACAGCAACATCAACTGTTCCATCATTTAGCTGCCTGAGGGCTCCATGGTCATGAATAAGTATTTCCCTCTGCCCGGCCAAGTCATAACTTCTGATATTGGCCCCCTTTGGTAGAACACAGGAGGGGGAAAAGGACAACTGTTGGGCCTGCAGTGAATGCAGAGAGTGACAGGAGCTTCCCGTGGGACGTCCTGTACTTTTCTCTGGCCTTCACAGCCCCTGCAAACCAGGAGATGTGATGTCAGTGACAGCAATGCACCTGTCCCGTATGATAACTTTGTACAGATTGGGAACACACACCCTTTCCTCAGTGCACTTTGCTCCCATTTGCCGGACGATTGCATGGTGATTCCAGCGAATGGTGCCCCATGGACTTGTGCAATGCACACAGCTGTCCAGGGTGGCCCTCATCAGTGAGGGATTTCAGGATGTCACCCACTCACTCCCCCAAATGACACTCTCCTCCCTGGAAGAAGAAACTACTTTTCGGTCCTAGTGTTTTCTTACAGTTGGATCCAAATGATCAGAAGGTCCTTCTAGGACAAGTTTAAAGTAGGAGGTTAGGAGCTAGCCTCGGCATGGCTGTACTTACTGCTTTTTATTTTTTTGTCATGATGTGGGAGGGAGGTTTTAAGAACTTTCACATCAGTTTTTAGAATTTTGTTTCTGTTTTGTTTTGTTTTTTAGTGACCCTTTGATTTTATTAAGAGTTAACGCTCTTAAGAAGGTACCTTGGGGCGCCTGGGTGGCGCAGTCGGTTAGGCGTCCGACTTCAGCCAGGTCACGATCTCGCACTCCGTGAGTTCGAGCCCCGCGTCGGGCTCTGGGCTGATGGCTCAGAGCCTGGAGCCTGTTTCCGATTCTGTGTCTCCCTCTCTCTCTGCCCCTCCCCCGTTCATGCTCTGTCTATCTCTGTCCCCAAAATAAATAAACGTTGAAAAAAAAAAAATTAAAAAAAAAAAAGAAGGTACCTCATACCCTCTTTTTTTTTTTTTTTTTTTTTTTTTTTTTTTTTGGAGGAACCTAGTATAGTAGAAAGGACCTTTCCAGATTTTATTTTCAAGTGAATTATTATGTTGATTGAGATTAAAAACCAAAAATCCAAAGGAAAAAGAAAACTTGTTTATGCAGTAGATCCTTTAATACCTGGAGAGTCCAACTTCCTCTGGTGCTGATATTCTCTCCAGAGCCTTGGAACAGTCCTCTGTACTTAGAGATTTCAGACATGAACATCTACATTTATGCTGAAATGTATATCCTAAATAAATTGCTTGTAATTATGGTTTGCCTTATGCTACTTTTTGTCTTTGAAAGGAATTGATTTAGCCCCAGGAAAAAGCAGTCGCATTTCTCTTCACATCCCGAAATCCCCCACACCTGTGTTTCAGCATACTGATACGTTTTTCGTAGATGCTTTTCCTGTAAGTGATACTGCGTTATGACTAGGAATACACTGGTGGTAAGTTCTTTTAAAGGTGTACGTTAACAGTTTTGGAAAGATGAAAAGATTCACATCCTGTGGTCTAATTTTATTTGACATATAATAGTATTTATGACAAGCCCAAACCACGTCTGCTTAGTTTTTCTGAAAGACATTCTATTTTCACTGAAGATTCTACTCATTTTCAGTTTATGTAAACATAGGCCTGGTATTTTTATCTAACACACATTCTACAAAGTACTTTGGATATATTGTAGATCAGACAGTAATGCTGAATTTATATAGCATCATCTGGGGTGTGCATGTGAGTGAATCTTCCAGATGACTAAAATTACCCTTGCAAGCAGTAAAACATCCTTTTTATGCGAGAT